GATAATTAATTAGAATTAAAATAAAAATCAAAGAATAATACAAAAAAAAAGAAATAAATTAAAGAAGATTGAAAAAATCATAAAAAAAAGAATGAAGAATAGAAAAACACACTTCTCAACAATGAAAAACTGAAGAATAAGTGAATAATTGATGAATAAACATTCTTAAAACACAAATATGTAAATAGTCTCTGATGAACAAAGGATAAAAGAAAATAAATCTATTATTATTTAATTAATTACTTTTTACTAAAAAGTTTATAACAAATTCAATAATGAGTTATTCATATAATAAGTAAATTGAAAAAAGATGGAATTATAATAAAAAAGATAATAACTGTCAATTTTATATTTTAGTATGAATTAGCTCTTAATAACATTACAAAAAAAGTTTATTTGTACTAGCAACTAATTCGGAATGTTCAAAGTTTTAACTTAACATTGTATTTTAAGAAGAATTAAAGTGTTTTTTTTAATTAATAGACAATATTATCAAATTTTTTTTAATATTCAATAAAAATAATGTTGTGAACAAAAAATTCAACAATAACATGTCTAAAGAGGGGGTATTTATAATATAAATGTTATAAGAATTTTGGAATATGTTAAGAATAAAAACAAATTTATAAGAGAAGTTCTTATTTTAAACAAAATAACAGTAGTAGAAGTAAAAGTTAACCAGTATTAATATAATATATTTAAATATCAGCATTTATAACAATAATAATTTCGTTATTATTAAGGAAACTAAGTTTTGTTTTCATTCTTTATTATTCTTTGTAATGTTTTCTTTATACTTTTGTTATTATTCAGATACTCTTTTTTCAATGTAAATTATACAACAAGTTATCATTATTGATGGATAATGTTCTAGGATTTTGTATAGAAAAGCAAATAAGATAAAACATTCAAAAATATAAAGAAGAAAATGCCTCATTAGTAATCAAATTTACAATAAAAATAGCAAAGGAAATAAGAAAAGAAAAATGAATAAAAAATCAACAATAAATATAGTGATAATCAAGACAAAACATATTATTATCACAGAATATTAACAGAGAAGAAATTAAATTAAAAATAAGAAAATATGAAGTTAATTGGAAAAGTAACTTAATAGAAATAAGTATAAAATTAGATAAATAAGTGTTAATAGAATTGTCATTTATTTGTTGGTTGATTAATGAATATTAATCACTTCATAAATCATTAAAAAATGTGTAGTTGATCTGTTTTAATTATTATTTAGAATTTCTTCTTGTTTTGTGAATAAATCTTTTTTTTATGATTTTTTCAATCTTCTT